CTCCTTCCGATCGTTTTCATATCCGTCCGTTTCATCTACTTCTCCGTCGTCTCTTCTTGGTCGTAGATCTTTTGGTACCATTTCACCTGCTTTTCGTTCACTTCCTCGTTGGAGCCATTGTTTTCACTCAAAACCATCTCCGTTTCGCTTAACCACTCAGATCAGAGCTGTTTCTCCAGTCTTAGATCGTCTCGAGAGAACCTTCTCTTCCATGGGTAAAGTTTCTCGATCTGATTGATCTTAGTGCTTGAATTTTCCGATCTCTGTTGATTTAGTAACAGTTTTTTTTGCGATTATTATTGTTTCAGCGTCAGAGCATCCGTTTAAAGGGATCTTCACTACTCTTCCTAAGCCTGGTGGTGGTGAATTTGGAAAGTTCTATAGCTTACCTGCTCTTAATGATCCACGAATTGGTATGTAGTTTTGAGTATCTCTATGAATGAGTTTATGAAGGACCTGAATCTAAGAGGAGTGATCTATTTGCAGATAAACTTCCTTACTCTATTAGGATTCTTCTTGAATCTGCGATTCGTAATTGTGATAACTTTCAAGTTACTAAGGAAGATGTTGAGAAGATTATTGACTGGGAAAAAACATCTCCTAAACAAGTCGAGATTCCGTTTAAACCGGCTCGTGTTCTTCTTCAGGACTTTACGGGAGTCCCAGCTGTTGTTGACCTTGCTTGTATGCGTGATGCGATGAATAAGCTGGGCAGTGATTCCAACAAAATCAATCCCTTGGTATTTTGTTATTTTGCGCAGATTGATGCTATTTGTTTAGCTTAGGATTCTTCTAGAATTCTTATGTATACCGTGTCTCTCAGGTTCCGGTGGATCTTGTGATTGACCACTCAGTTCAAGTTGATGTTGCTCGATCTGAGAATGCAGTGCAAGCAAACATGGAGCTTGAGTTCCAGAGGAACAAGGAGAGGTTTGCTTTCCTTAAATGGGGTTCTACTGCGTTCCAGAACATGCTTGTTGTGCCTCCTGGCTCTGGTATTGTGCATCAGGTAATTCTCTTGTAGTGTGCGAGTCCATAATTTGTTTCTAAACTTGTTCTGACATTGATATATATCCTTTTCAACCTCATGTTTTCAGTGTATTGAAATGATTTTGTCTCAAACTAAACCTCATCTTGAAAATTCAGGTCAATTTGGAATATCTTGGAAGAGTTGTGTTCAATACCAAAGGCCTTCTCTACCCAGACAGCGTGGTTGGAACTGATTCACATACAACTATGATTGATGGTTTGGGAGTTGCTGGATGGGGAGTTGGAGGCATTGAAGCTGAGGCAACAATGCTTGGGCAGGTAATTATTTTGATTATGAGCATTATCCAGATCCTATGTTTGTGAATCTGGTGACTATATTGTACGACTATTCTGCTCCAGTTTAGTGAGGTTTTATATTCAATCTTTCTTATACTGATGACTCTTTTTTGCTTGACAGCCCATGAGTATGGTATTGCCTGGTGTTGTTGGATTCAAACTGGCCGGAAAAATGCGTAATGGTGTAACAGCTACTGATTTGGTTCTAACAGTGACTCAAATGCTGAGGAAGCATGGTGTTGTTGGAAAGTTTGTTGAGTTTTATGGTAATCTACATCTTTGTGAGCGCTTAAGTGTTATGCTCCTTTTTAATAGACATTTGTTTATTGGAGCATTCTAAAGGCTACATTTTTCTTCTTAGGTGATGGTATGAGTGGGCTGTCCCTAGCTGACAGGGCAACCATTGCCAACATGTCTCCCGAGTATGGTGCAACCATGGGCTTCTTCCCTGTGGATCATGTTACTCTACAGTATCTCAAATTGACTGGAAGAAGCGATGAGACAGTGAGTGTTTGGCTTTAAACTTCCTTCTATATATATATCTGGTCTGATACAGTACTTTCATGGCAGGTGGCCATGATTGAAGCATATCTTCGCGCTAACAATATGTTTGTTGACTACAATGAGGTAAATCAGCCTTATCCTTTATATTTGGGTTTTAAGTATTTTATCTCGTTTCAGGTTTTTATTTGACTATTTTGTTAATAAATTTCAGCCTCAGCAAGACCGAGTTTACTCATCATATCTAGAACTGAACCTGGATAATGTTGAACCTTGCATTTCTGGACCAAAGCGGTATGGGTTCTGTCAGTTTTTGTAATCACAAATTTTTATTTTCTGATTAATGGATCATGACCATTTTATTGATATCTGCTTTGCAGGCCACATGATCGTGTTACTTTGAAGGATATGAAAGCTGACTGGCATTCATGTCTTGACAGTAAAGTTGGGTTCAAGGTATGTAACTAGATGTTTCGTTTTGTGGAGGTCTGATTTCTTAAGCATTTGCTCGTTCAATAGACTGTTGGTGCACATTTTAGATACCACTGTTCATGTCTGAATATTGTTATACATTCTCTGCAGGGTTTTGCTATACCTAAAGAGGCACAAGAAAAAGTGGCAAATTTTTCGTTTAATGGAGAACCAGCAGAGCTTAAACATGGAAGTGTGGTGATTGCTGCAATCACAAGCTGTACTAATACATCAAATCCCAGTGTCATGCTTGGTGCTGGTCTTGTTGCAAAGAAGGCGTGTGACCTTGGCCTACAGGTTGGTTTCACGAGATCAAACTAGAATTCTATCTGACGCCTCGACTTTTTCTGATCCCTTTTCAAAAACTTGCCTCTATAGGTTAAGCCTTGGATAAAGACAAGTCTTGCGCCAGGCTCAGGAGTTGTTACAAAATACTTGTTAAAGAGGTATGTTGTAGTGTTTTCAAGTTCTTTGTTGTTAAAGGCTGATTCTTGCTTTTGTGCGGGAAATTTTAAGTTTATATTTTTACTTCATGCAGTGGACTGCAAGAATATCTGAATCAACAGGGTTTCAATATTGTCGGCTACGGTTGCACTACCTGCATTGGGAATTCTGGAGAAATTAATGAATCAGTGGGAGCTGCTATTACCGAAAATGGTATTATTGAGATTCGCAACTAAACTTACTTTGGACCTTCATCCTTTATATTACTATTATATATAAGTGGCCAATTGTTATCAAAATTTGTGGTGCTTGTTGTTAGACATTGTGGCGGCTGCTGTTCTTTCCGGGAACAGGAACTTTGAGGGGCGTGTTCATCCTCTAACAAGAGCCAACTACCTTGCTTCTCCTCCTTTGGTGGTTGCCTATGCTCTTGCTGGCACGGTAATAAATCTTGGGAACTTGTCAAAATTCAACCAACATTTTGTGTGAGATAATGACACATGACTCATTATCATATTGGTAATTTAACATTCTTCTTTCTTATTTTCCAGGTTAACATCGACTTTGAATCGGAGCCTATTGGCACTGGAAAGAATGGCAAGGACGTCTTCCTAAGAGATATCTGGCCAACCACGGAAGAAATTGCTGAGGTATGTACGACTTAACCAGAGAACAATAACTTCTTTTTAGGACACAAATATTAAATAAGTCTTTTGACATATGGATCAGGTTGTTCAATCCAGTGTTTTGCCTGACATGTTCCGAGCAACATACGAGTCAATCACCAAGGGTAACCCCATGTGGAATAAGCTGTCTGTTCCTGAGAATACCCTTTACTCATGGGATCCCAACTCTACTTACATTCACGAGCCTCCATACTTTAAGGACATGACCATGGATCCTCCAGGGCCACACAATGTGAAGGATGCTTACTGTTTGCTCAATTTTGGGGACAGTATCACCACTGATCACATCTCACCAGCTGGGAACATCCAAAAGGACAGTCCTGCTGCAAAGTTTCTCATCGAGCGTGGCGTTGACCGTAAGGACTTCAACTCATATGGAAGTCGCCGTGGGAATGATGAAATAATGGCCAGAGGCACTTTTGCTAATATCCGTATCGTTAACAAGCTCATGAATGGTGAGGTTGGCCCTAAGACAGTTCACATTCCATCTGGAGAGAAGCTCTCAGTCTTTGATGCAGCCATGGTTTGTATATATCTAACTAAAATTTGTACTCCTGACTGTACGTTGATCATGTTGAATGTCTCCTTATCATAATGTCAAATGTATCAGAGGTACAAGTCATCTGGTGAAGACACAATTATTCTTGCTGGAGCTGAGTATGGAAGTGGTAGCTCACGTGATTGGGCTGCCAAGGGACCCATGCTACAGGTTTTGAACCGCTTCTCTCGTTTGTTTTCGCATAAACCCATTGTACTGTTTTATCTGAAACAAAAAAAATTGGGATTGTCAGGGCGTTAAAGCGGTGATTTCTAAAAGTTTTGAGAGGATTCACCGAAGCAACTTGGTGGGAATGGGAATCATCCCGTTGTGCTTTAAGTCTGGTGAAGACGCAGATACTCTTGGATTGACTGGTCACGAACGCTACACGATCCATCTCCCAACTGATATCTCAGAGATAAGACCCGGCCAAGATGTTAACGTCACTACCGACAACGGAAAATCTTTCACTTGCACAGTCCGCTTCGACACAGAGGTAAATAAAATACTCCAGTCTTCAAAATGTTTGGTGAAAGATAAAAAGAAGAAAAAACACATTTCTATGTGAACGAACTAATAATGGTAAATAAATGCGCAGGTGGAATTGGCATACTTCAACCATGGAGGCATACTTCCATATGTTATCAGAAACTTGAGCAAGCAATAGTGAAGGAACCAACACAATTTATGGAGCAAAATAAAAGAGATTTTTTCTGTTTAAAAATGTCATTTTTAAAAGGCAGATAAGTCTGTCTAGGATAGGTTAAAAAGGTGAGTGATCTCATGCAATATGAGTTTGGGCTCCCAAGTTTCGCAACTTGCAAGAGTTGAATATTATTGTTTTTGGAATGGAATAAGAGCCGATCTCTTTTGACAGACCTTTAAATCTTCAAATAGAGGAAAAAATGTCGCGGATATAACCAAATGCAGTGTTAGATTTATTTAAACTTGTAGACTTGTGTAGAAAACTCCCTATCTAGGCGTCCAACGTTAAAGTGACTTAAACAATAACAAGTAACTATATTTTTTCGAGCACAACGGACTAATCCACTAAACGAAGCTACGTCGTTTCAGTTTAGGGTTACATTTGGGCGTCTCTCTCCGAGATCTCAACGAGAGTCATCGTGATTTTGTGTGTTTTTGATTATCTGAAATCGAAACAGCTCCCATAGCTTCTTCTCAATTTTCTTCAATTGTTGTTACCCTTCTCCCAAATTCACGACTTTCTTCTGGGTTCGTCGGAACACTCACGTAAGCTCTTTTTCTGGGTTTTGCTTTCTCCTCTTTCTGGGTTTCTCTTTCTCGCAACGCTTACTGATTAATGCCTAGTCCTCCTTTTTATATGTATTTCTCCTCTTTTGGGGCAAAACTTGAGATTATATCTGTTGTTTAATGGCTTAGGGCATTTGGTCGTGTCGGAGAGAGATCTCAACAAGAGTCATTGATATTCATTTGATCGTCGCAACGCAACACTTAATAATGGTAAGCTCCTATTTTGTTGTTCATATATGTTTGTAACGTTAATGGTGATTGATTAAGTTTTTGAATTGATTTTGTTGTTGAAAGACCAACTCTTTTCGATTTAGAGATTGAATTTTTCCCTATCAAAGTGTAGTCTCTGTGATTTAGAAAAGCTTTAAAAGAGAAAGAGATGAACTGAAAAGTGCTTGCATTCAACCAAGGAAATTGGTCTCTTAAATAGACCTTGAACTTACAACTGGAATCCGAAACTTAAGCTACTAGAATTACTGAAACAAACTTCGACGTGGAGCTAGTCAATCCCTATAAACAAGGATGACTTATTCAACTAAAAGAAATTCAAAACAAAACAGAATGTTGCCCGAATATGCAGGACCTTATTCTTCATTCCCTCCCCTAAACTGGAATGTCTCCTCTCCAGTTTACTCTTCCTTAACGCATACTCCCATCCTGCTCCTGAGCTTTTCAAACACATCGAGTTTCACAGCTTTTGTCATGATATCGGATATCTGATCTTGTGTTCCACAATAGTCAAGCTGAATGACACCATCATTCACCAACTCCCTTAAATAATGAAACCTGACATGAATGTGCTTGCTTCTTCCATGTAGCACCGGGTTTTTAGACAACTTTATGGTAGAACTATTGTCACAGAACATAATGGTACCTTCCTCTTGCTGAAAACCAATCTCCTCCAAAATGTTCCTGAGCCACACTGCTTGACAAGCTCCATAAGCTGCTGAAACGAATTCTGCTTCGGTTGTAGACAAAGTCACAATCGGTTGCTTCTTCGAGACCCACGACACTGCTCCTCCTCCCAACATTAAAACGTATCCAGGGGTGCTTTTACAATCATCAACATCCCCTGCATAATCACTGTCCACATACCCGACCAGCTTTTGCTCTCCACCAAACTTATATTGAATACCAAAAGCTCGAGTTCCTTGAAGATATCTCAGAATTCTCTTAGCTGCTACCATGTGTTGTTCATTTGGACTCTCCATGTACCTACTGACCAAATTCACAGAGTAAATTAAGTCTGGTCGTGTAGCAGTTAAGTACCTTATAAGCTTCCAACAAGTTGTTGAATTCACTTCTTCTCCACCTCCTGTCTTCGTCAGCCTTTGACCCGGAACCATAGGATTCTTAACGGAATTGCAGTTCTCCATTTCATACCTTTTAAGAATTTCTTCTGCATATTTCCTTTGATTTATGAAGATCCCTTTCTCATCTTGCACAACCTCTACTCCCAAGAAATATTTCATTTTACCCAAGTCCGTCATTGAGAATTCTCTCATCATAGAGTCTTTAAACTCTTCAAGCATCTCAGTTGAATTTCCAGTGTAGATGAGATCATCAACATAAAGACTTATGATTAAACAGCATCCTTCTTCCTTCTTCACGAACTGTGTGTGCTCACAATAACATTTTTCAAATCCTTCCCGCAGAAAATACCCTTCAATGCGACTGTACCATGCTCTTGGAGCTTGTTTCAAGCCATACAACGTTTTCTTCGACCTATAAACCTTGTCAGATCCTTCACTGACCTCAAATCCCTTTGGTTGCTCCACGAAGACCTCCTCCATTAGTTCTCCGTGTAAGAAAGCACTCTTAACATCTAATTGGAAAACATTCCAGCCTTTTTCTGCAGCTTTTGCCAATATCACTCTTATTGTATCCCATCTAGCTACTGGTGCAAAAACTTCGTGAAAATCCACTCCTTCTTTCTGATGATACCCTTTTGCAACCAGTCTTGCCTTGAACTTATCGATTTCTCCATTCTCGTTGAGTTTAGTTTTGAACACCCACTTAACTCCTATCACCTTAGCTCCTTCCGGGAAATCGATTAGCTCCCATGTGTTGTTTTCTTCTATAGAAGCAATTTCCGTCTCCATTGCCTTTCTCCACACTGATTCTTGTGCTGCGTCTTCGTAGCTCTCGGGATCCTTTGAAGCTATGAACAACGCAAGAATCTCTCCGTTATCTTCTTCTATTAAAAACTCTGCATCTCTTGTGTCAAAGTCTTTGAACCAGACTGGTCTCCTAATCGTTCGCTTGGAACCTTCTCTCACAGGAACCTGAGCTGCCGGAATTGGTTGAGCTTCCTCTACGACAGCGTTTTCTTCTTCTTCAACACGGTTTTCTCCTTCTGCAACCACATTCTCTTCTTCAGCGGGTTCAATCTGTGAATCGTCCCATGCGAGTTCTTTCTCCTCTTGTTTTTCTTCCCAATCCCATCCTCTGGTTTCATCAAAGTGAACGTCTCTACTTATCACTATCTTCTTCGTTGCTGGATTGTAGAGACGGTACGCCTTTGATTCTTTGCTTACTCCAAACAATACACAATTGACGCTCTTCTCATCAAGTTTAATCCTTCTTTCATACGGCACAAGAGCATATGCGATACTCCCGAATACCCTGAGATGACTCACCAACGGCTTCTAATTGCTCCACTTCTCCTCCGGTGTGACGTCATCTAAGGCCTTTGATGGACTTCTGTTCAGTATGTATAAGGCATATTGAACAGCTTCTGGCCAAAACGTCTTGGAACTCCCATCTCCAGCATCATACATCTTGTCATGTTCATGACTGTTCTGTTTTTTCTCTCTGCGATTCCGTTCTGTTGAGGTGTATATGCCGCTGTGAGCTGACGTTTGATACCAAACTCCCTGAAATAATCATCAAACTCCCGAGAGTTATATTCTGCTCCCATATCAGAGCGCAAACACACCAACATCTGCCCTAATTCCCTTTCTACACCAGCCTTAAATTCCTTAGAAACTCTAAAAGCTTTTGATTTCTCTGACAAGAAGTAGGTCCAACACTTTCTAGTCATCTATGAAATTGATGATGTACCTTTTTACGCTTTCAGATTGTGGAGTGATTGGTCCGCATATGTCGGTGTGAACCAATTGGAGCACTCAAGTTGATTTCCACACGCTCTTCTTTGGAATGCTTTCTCGGTTTTGTTTTCCTCTCATGCAGATATCACATACGACTTCTTCTGGTTCTTGGCTCAGCTTTGGTATCCCAATCACCATGTCTTTTTCTGCCAGCGATCTCAAGCCTTTGTTGTTGAGGTGACCATACCTTCTGTGCCATAAATCATTTGTCTTTTCCATCACTTGCAGACATCGGCCATCTTCTACTTCTTTTGCTTTCTTGACAATGGCAGGAATTACAAACATCCTATTCTTTGCCATTGTAGAATGCATTATCATTCTTTTCTCCTCTTTGTGCCATTCTTCACATTCTCCATCTTCGATAATGATTCTCAAACCTTTCTCTTGCAGCTGTCCCACACTAAAGAGATTATTCTTTAGTTCAGGTACGAAGTAGACATCAGAAATTACTTGAGTTCTCCCATTGATCTCAAGCCGCAAATTTCCCTTTCCGTCGACAGACATTCTCCTGTCATCCCCTAGCTTCACGCTTCTCTTAAAGGTACTGTCAAGCTCAATAAACCACTCCCTTGAGCCGCACATATGATTGCTGCAGCCCGAGTCCAAAAACCAGACTTGTTCCTCTTCGGTTTTGACATCCTCAATGCGTGCCATCAACAGCAAATCTTCCTCCATTTCAACATAATTTGCTTCTTTGTCCCACTCTGGACATTCCGACTTGTAGTGCCCCAGCTTGTGACACTTGAAACATTCCACGTTCTCTTTGTTGACAAAACCACGGCCCCTACCTTGATATCCACCTCTGCCCCTTCCTCAAACTGGATATCCTCCTCTGCCTCTGCTACTGCTCGGTTTCCATTGCCCCTCAACTTTAAGAGCTTTCTCCTCTCCATCGTGCCTGATCATGTTTTGCTCATGAACTCTCAACGAGCTCTGCAGACCATCCACTGTCATGCTCCTGATGTCTTTTGATTCTTCAATCGCACACACTATGTATGTGAATTTCTCAGCCAGCGTTCTTAGAATCTTCTCAACGATTTTTGAATCCGGCATATCTTCTCCAAGATTGCGCATGTCGTTAGCAACTTCCATCACTCGTGAGAAGTACTCTTCGATTGACTCTCCAAATCTCATCTCAAGGACTTTAAAATTTCTTCTCAGCCTCTGTAGTTGTGCGCTCTGCACCCTATCATTACCTTGATATTTCTTCTTCATTGACTCCCACAATTCCTTTGACGTCTCCTTCTTGAGAATTGTTTTCAGAATCGTCTTGTCGATGGAATCGAACAGATAGTTCTTCACTTTGTGATCGGTAACCGTCTTCTCTGCTATCTTCTTTAACAGCTCGGCTCTCTGTGCTCCCGACAGAACCGTTCCTCTTTCTTGACTTGGAATCCCTGTTTCGATCAGATCCCACCATTCCTTCGAGCGGAGCAAATTCTCCATGAGCATAGCCCAATGCTCGTAGTCACCGTCAAACTTTGGTATGATCATCGTATCTTTGTCTCTCATCTCTTTCTCTCAGATTATTATCAAGCTCTGATACCACTTTGTAGTCTATGTGATTTAGAAAAGCTTTAAAAGAGAAAGAGATGAACTGAAAAGTGCTTACATTCAACAAAGGAAATTGGTCTCTTAAATAGACCTTGAAATTACAACTGGAATCCGAAACTTAAGCTACTAGAATTACTAAAACAAACTTCAACGTGGAGCTAGTCAATCCCTATAAACAAGGATGACTTATTCAACTAAAAGAAATTCAAAACAAAACAGAATGTTGCCCGAATATGCAGGACCTTATTCTTCACAAAGCTCTTAAGATGCATACACGTTACACGCTCAATGTAGATTTGAAGGAAGTTGCGACTCTTTAAGCTCTTAAGAGTAAAGCAAGGCTAAGCTTAAGGAACGTTTCAAGACTGGGAAGAACAGGTGGTTCTTTACTAAGCTCAGGTTCTGAATAACCTTTGAGATTTTATCTTTATCGAATTTTACAACTATCTATCTACTTTTTTTTGTTTAGTTCTATAATGAATTTGGATAATTGTCATGACTTTTAGTTCTGGATTTTGTCTTTTTACTTATGATCATTTGCTATATTGATGCCTCCATTTGATATGTTGTCACTGGTTTAATAGTTTATTGCTTACCAAACCTTGAAGATGGTCAAATGCTGCTCTAGACTCTGTTGTTTACTTTTAGGGAACATAGAGAGCCGTAGAAGCATTTTTGAGTTGTCATCATGTTGATCTTTGACGGGCCTAAACGGGCTTTTAGAAATTTGGCGGGCTTAAACGGGTAGGAGACTAAACGGGTTTCAAAATATTTAGTTAAACAGGCATGGGCCTAGCAAATTCTCTTCTAAAGTGGTACGCCATCTTCTAAAGTGGTCGACTGGAAACTTCATCCTGTAGAACCACGATTTCTACGATATGGCAAACTGAAAAATTGTTGTAAATAATGATAAGAAACAGAATCAAAATTACAAACTCGATACCAAACTCTAACGAACGAAGAACGATTTGTGTGGAGGCGAGACACTCTTTCCTTAATTCTTTAATTGCCCGTAGTGTGACGGTGTTACGCAATCAGAATCCCAGGATACAACCACACCATCAACTGTTTCGCAGCACTCAAAAAACAGAAGCTAAACGAACCAAAATTCTGTGTTGTACTCTCAGACACAAAAGGAAAGAGAAGAGAAGAGAGGAGGATTGACTTTTTATTATTGTTCACGATGATGAAAATGAGGTGAAGAAGCCTTACTTATAAAGCCAAAGCCTTCAACGTACATGTAGTCAAAAGGAGAACAAGACATTAATCAGAATCAATTCTCATGTTAATGCCATCACGTTAATGTCGTCAATGAGACAATAAGTTATTGTCAATAACCATTGATTTTGTTGTTACACAAATTCAATTAGGGAGAGATTCTCATTTTTATTATTATTTAAACAATAATAATTAAAATTGAATTTGGGAAAATAAGAATAATATTTTGGGTTGTAAGCCCATTTTCTATTTCCCTAATTCCAAACCCCAAATCCTAACCGGTCCGGTTTGATGCGACACATCACAATACGACACGGTTCGGGTTTCTCCTTTAACTTCCAAAGTGCGACATTTGACCGTTAGTCAACATTTCAAGCTTTACAAGCTAGCCACTTTGGACCTCTATTTCTCATTCAAACGAACTCCGTTTTTGACATTCCAATACACTACCGCGTAGTGTTCGCAGCAACGATCTCATCGTGCCCAAGAACCGGTCATTCCGATGAACGTCTTCACCGGAAAATCCACCGAAAAATGGTCACAACCACTACGTCAAAAACAAGTTCCAACACATCCTACATTAACAAGCAAGAGGATGATGAAGATTGGAAGATTTGACCGCGAGATAACGACCGCGAGATTGGAAGATTTGACCGCGAGATTGGAAGATTTGTTTATGGCTTAAGATTTTGTGGATGGCAATCAAAGATAGAGTGGTGTTGTGAATCTTGTGATGCTCTGTGTTTGGTTTAGATTTTGTTCTGCAGCATTGTGTTTCCGGTTTGGTTTTTTTTTATTATTCTTTTGCTTTACTTTTCTGATTTTACGGATCGTTTGGGGTCAATAAATTTTGATTTTCAATTTTTACTTTGCTCCACCATTTCAATATGATTTTCAGGATTATCTGTCTACTTTTCATAATCTCTTGTGTTTTCTGGAACCTTAGGTTAGTTGATAAGGAAGCTTCTAGAAATTATTCTTGGTGGGCGTGGAACTATATGGGAAGATCAGCTTGGAGAATATGCTTTTTCGAATGGAGTCTGATCAAGTTAGTTCTCGATGAAGAATTTAAAAGTGGTGAGTTTTTCCTGCAACCAAGACAAAAGAAACAAAAAAATATTAATGGTGATTATATCAAAGCTGAACTATGTGTTTCTCTTTTCTATTTTGTGCTAATTAGAGTTTGGAAATATATACTCATTGTTCTAATTATTCAGGTGATTTTGTGATTCTGGTTCATCATAGTTAATCAAGGAAGCCGCTCTTAGATTTGTTACTAAACACAAAGTACGGTTGTCTTAGTTTATTTTCCAAATATGTTCTCTTCAATCTTTTTTTCTGTTTGGTCTTTTGATTTTGTTCTTGGAGTTCGATGTTCTGTCACGTTTCTTCTGCAGCTGCAAATTCCAGAGCCTATATATAATCGTTGGGATTTTCAGGGTGTTAAAGCGGTGATTGCAAAGAGTTTTGAGAGGATTCACCGAAGCAACTTGGTGGGAATGGGAATCATCCCGTTGTGCTTTAAGTCTGGTGAAGACGCAGATAGTCTTGGATTGACTGGTCACGAACGCTACACAATCAATCCCCCAACCGATATCTCAGAGATAAGACCTGGCCAAGATGTTACTGTCACTACCGACAACGGAAAATCTTTCACTTGCACAGTCCGCTTCGACACAGAGGTAACAAAATACTCGAATCTTCAAAATGTTTGGTGGAGAAAAAAAGCATTTAATGTGGACGAACTAATAATGGTAAAATAAATGTGTAAGTGGAATTGGCATACTTCAACCATGGAGGCATACTTCCATATGTTATCAGAAACTTGAGCAAGCAATAGTGAAGGAACCAACACAATTTATGGAGCAAAATAAAAGAGATTTTTCTGTTTAAAGTTGTCATTTTTAAAAGGCAGATAAGTCTGTCTAGGATAGGTTAAATATTATGTCGATCTTATAATTTTTTTCTTTTATTTCTATTTTTATTTCATAAGATACATCGAATTTCCTTATATTTATCTTCTTTAGATTTTTTAAATTGTTTTATATAAGATATATACGTATAATTTCCTTATAAATGTTTTTCAAAACAAATATTTTTTTTGGTTTTACACGTTGATAAATTTGACATGTGCGCATAGCTTCCTAATATATATTTTTAAAATAAATAAAAATAAATTTTAATTTAACACATGTCAAAATCTGAGATCAATAAATTTGACACGTGACACGATCCTATGAATTATTAACTTTCAAAATCATACTTTATATAATAAGAAGATAGGTCTCACTTTTTAATTTAGGTTTTGAATAGGACTATGATATTGATAACGATGGATTGCCTCAAGGCTTTAATAGGGAGATTATATTGTTACTAATCCGAAAAAATAGCAAAATAAAATAATGAGGAAGATTATTTTCGTGTTATGGTGATAATTATGCCAATGATTTTATTTCTTTTCGTGTATACAATTCGTTTTTGTGTACATAACAATATCCCGACCTTTATGGTCAGAGGAATACAATACAACTTTGATATTACTCTTTACTTGGAAAGCAAGGAAAACATTTGAACTTGACGAGAACTCTTCAAACAGAATCAATGGCGACTACTCATGCAGTGATGGGTGTGATCAGGTCAATTATGCCTGCTTTTCGCAATAACAACGACAAAGTCGCTTTCGTAGTTCACGCTTCTTTCGTCGTTTCCGGTTTCATCCTCACTGCAACTGGGCGTCCTGCCTTTGCCTTTGACGCTCTGTCGTCATCGACCACTGAGAGTTAGTGTGTTAGGTTTTTTTTTTTTTTTAATACTATTTTTTCCTAGGGTTTAGGATTCTGATTTGTTCGATTTTCGATTTTTAGGTTTGGTTAGGATTGCCGGGTGGAACGAATTCGATGAGGAGTATGCGTTTGTTTATAAAAGTCCGGTGAAGGGATCGAAGAAGAATACAGTGAAGAAATTTCTGGTTAAGTGCTTGGTGATGAATGATAAACTTCTTGTTGATGCAATAGCTGAGGATGGAAAAGAATTTGGTCATCTCCAAATACAGTATGTCATTGTTTCTCTTTATCTCTTTACTTTTGCTTGAATCTCAAGGTACTGAAACTTTCTTGTTTATTTTCTTATTACAGAGTTGGGAATTATACTGATGAGTCTAGAGAAGAGAAGGATTACGATGCACAGTTCAAGAATTTTGGCAAGTTAGTGACTGATTTGAATAGTGAGATTTTGTGTAAACTAAATACTGTTTCTACTACAACCAAGTCCAGCTCTGAGAAAAATGAAGAGCCTAGAGATTACGTTGGGATAACTTCATCTTCAAAGAAACAGAAGAAAATATGGGTATAACTGTTGGAACTCATTTTTTACACAAGTGGCTCCGGCCAACTTTCCGGCAACTTTTCTGGTGACGTCCGTCATCGGAATGACCGGATAATGGAACCTTTGGATTCCTTGTAATGGGCACTATAAGATAGTGTATCTATTTGTAAAAATTGAAGTTATATTGAATGAGTAATTGAGGTCCAAAGTGGGGAGCTTGGAAGCTTATAAATCACAAATGTAATTTTGTCCCATATTGGAAGTTTGGAAACTTTCCCTCTAGTATATATAGTGATACACATGTGACATGGTTCACTAGCTATTGGGAAAGGGAGACTATGGTGAAGGAGATGCATGCACATTATGCAACACGACCCACACGCGCGTGCGCGTCGCTGTGCCGGGCTTGGGCTTGGGCTTGGGCTTGGGCTCTTGGGGAATGTGGGCCTTTGGCCAACAAAAGAATATTCTTTTTGGGGAAAATACTTATGAGGCTTTTGTTACATAAGACTTGGCCCATTAACGAAATTCGAAAGCCCAATAACGAAATCGAAACCTTTGCATAATTAAAGGCATATTCGAATATTAAAAGCATATCCGAATATTCCTTTTCCGAATTCGAAATCGAGAAACAGAAGTGATAACGCTTCCTAAAATCTCGCCCACGATCTCGACTCGGTTAAGTCTTGCGCATCACTCCGATTCTCCACGATCTCCGCTAACATTCGCGCGACTTACGGACCAAGCTGCTTCTCCTCTCGCCTATAAAAGGAACACCTCACTCTCTCATTTTCTTCACTTGCTATTCGCAAAAAACACAACCACACAACTCTCTCCCTCTCTCTCTTTCTTCTCAAAGTAAGTCTCAAGAGTATATCGTCTATATCAAGTTCGTAGATTCCGCTATCGAGTGAAGCGATAACGGCCTCATTTTGATTGTATCATGCGGTCCGCTGCTCATAAAACCGTCTCATCTACGGGAGCTAGTTTGGATCGACTAACCCATGTGCAAGTGCCGTTCACATGGAACCTTCAAAGTTCTCATTTGAATATTTGCTACTACCACCAAGATATGCACCAACGGCAGCTCCGCCCGGGCTCCCGCCCTAGTTTTGCAGCGACTGCCGTGCCCTCCTACTCATCGAGGCCTGGCTCTTGCCCCGACTGCCGGGTATAGGTCACGCGCTTCAGCGCCATCCATTTTCGGGGCTAGTTGATTCAGCAGGTGAGTTGTTACACACTCCTTAGCGGATTTCGACTTCCATGACCACCGTCCTGTTGTCTTAATCAACCAACACCCTTTGTGGGTTCTAGGTTAGCGCAGTTGGGCACCGTAACCCGGCTTCCGATTCATCCCGCATCGCTAGTTCTGCTTTACAATGCAGTGTTGGTGCTACTTTACACAACCTTGGACAACTCTATCTTGTGCAGCGAAAACTTGAGGAAGCTCGTGCGTGTTATGAGGTAATCACAATTTATGTTTTACAAAACAAAGCATCTAAAATGGATTGCATAAATAGTCCCTTTCTAGGTTATTTGGATGGATGTAGTGTTGGTATTGAAGATTAGGAGGTGTGTGTTTGCTGTGATACATGAAAAAATTATGAGGAATTGGAGTCATGAATGTTGCTGGCTATGTATACGAAAACAAATTTTTCATGATAAAAGGGCATGTTACGTATCAAAGTCTAGATGCTAGAATCAGAAAATTGGTCCAAAATATGTTTTAAAATAAAGAGTGAACTGGCGCAGAAGTAAAATTGGGAAAAGAAATTAGCTAAGAGACATTTGTTATGAAGACTAAACCAAAATTACATATATTTGATGTCTTTCTGAAAGATTTAATACAAAAAGATTTAATCTTCGATTCTCCGGCTTCATTGGTGGGAACTTATGTCAATTTTAAATTAATTTGTATGTTCTTCAAAAAAAAAAAAAAAAAACCAACTCATAAGCTTTTATAGTTAATTTTTTTTTTTTTTTTAATTTTAAATTAATTTGTATGTTCGTCAATTTTTTTTTTTTTTTTTTTTTTTTTTTTTTTTTGCGCAAAATTGTAAGAGATTACATAGTAATTTCAAATTTACTTGAAGAATTGTTAGAAATGCATTCTTTTAGATATCTTTTTAAGAAATGCATTCTTTACTCATCGACCTCTTTTTAAGAAATGCATTTTTTTAGATATCTTTTTGTGCCCTTTTAATTTTTATTGACCATTTTACCTCTATGTAAAAAATATTTAAGTCAACAAAATGAAAAAGTGATTTTTTCCCGCAAAAAAGTTTTGCGACAAAAAAATTTCCGTCAAACATTATATCTCTTGCTTTTTATTTCTTATTATTTTATTTTATAAATGCAATATAGTTTAATAAACAATAAAAATATATTTTGTCATATTATAAGTGTTTAATGATTTTACTAGTTGTTTATTTTATTACACTAATTTCATCCATATAGTATTTTATTTTTTCATGGTCATTGCAACTATTTTCTATAGCTTGTAAACAATTAGTTTGTACAGTTAAAAATATGAAGAAAAAAAAAATGTTCTCCTTAGCTTCCTTCCACGTGTCCAAACTGTAACGCCCGTGTTCTGAAAAATAATAGAAAAATTAGATTTTAACCCGCGCTACACCGCGAGATGATTTATTTTTAAAGTTAGTGTAAAAATATTTTGTAAATTGTATCTCCTTCGAAAATATTTATTTATATTATAGTTTACAATTGTTACTAAGTAACGGTATACCACTAGTCCACGAGACAATTATTAATAAACTGAGGATTTAACCCGTATTAAAGCGGTATATAAATATTGATTCAAATTCGTCCGCCATATAAACCCGTTACGAAATATAACCCATTCCGTAATTTTTTAACCCGTCCCGTGATTTGTTTTTATTTTAAAATTTAATGATTATTTATTATATAAAAGTTTACAAATCATATCATTCTCTAAAACATTTATATTTTAATAAACTGAAGATTTAATATATATTAAAGCGGCATGTTAATGATATTTTAAAATTTTATAAATATTGTTATTAAGTAACATTATACCACGGGACAATTTTTGGTTTTATACAATCTTTTCTAAATGAGACTGATTTAATATGTTTAATATTGGTGATATTAAAAAAATAAGGATTTAATCCGTATTGAAGCGGCGGATTAATGATATTTTAATCTTTTTATTATTGTTGATTCAAAAGTCCATCCCGCCAAACCCGTCCCGCCAAAAAACTCATTTATTTACTAATGTTGATCTTATTTATGATATGATTTTGAATTATTGTCTAAATATTTTAATCGATGTAGAACGTTGAACACACATTTTCCTCAATTGGATAATATATGTCCGTTTTTAAAATTTCGAATCACAGTATATGCAGAAAAAAGTTGATTTTTTTTTTTACTTTATGGATTATATGATGATTCAAAACAGTTAAAAACAAATCAAACAAATATGATAGGAGAATCATAATTCTAAATCTTAATCAAATCTTCTAAATATCTAAATTATTAAATATGGAATATCCGGTGTATGAGTTGGGTTAAATATAACCCGATCTAATAATTTTTTTGTGAAGGAATTTTAAAAACGGGTCGGATATCTGATATACCCGGAAGCATTTTTATCCACTCGTCACCAAAGTATTGCAAAAATACTAGTATAGATGGATGTTTATGTCGGGAATTGAAGTAGAGTCGGTTCAATTCAACTGGTTTACTGAAAGGGTCGATTTATTAATTAAACAAAAGAGGTGGTTTAATTAATTCTCGGTTTAGTAAAATCTTGGTTTGATCAAATTAAACCAGGGAACCTTATTTTTCTCTATATCACCACACAAGCCTCCTCTTCTCCTGTGTCGTGACCTGCAAAGAAAAAGAGAGAAAGAGAGCTTGTTAGTGTGAGAAAGAGGGAGAGGTTGAAGTTTGGTGAAAGGAGAAGAGAGGCAGACAGGACACGTTTTGGTAAAACAGAGTTTCGTCATATCAATTCGTTTCCAAAGGTGACGAAATTTTCAGGAATTGTAGCCGTTTACGGATATTGATTCGTTATATCTAGTTATAGCCGTTTACGGATATTGATTCGAATCAATATTCTAAGAGTTATCCATGTTTTCGTGAGCTCTTCTGTTTCAGTCGCGTTTTGGACCAGTTCGTGTTCAAAGTGAGATTGCGAACGAATCCTTTTTCTGATCGCCACAAAGTTTAGTGGGTAGGTTTAGGACACCTAGGAGAAGCTTTTCAACGGTGGGATTGGAAATTGAACGGTAAGAACTTGTTTCGTAATCCAATGTTTTAGGCTGACAATTCTGTGATTTTCGTAGAATTTTACGGTTAGGTTTAATTGATGTTTTGATTGTTGTGGTTGGCTACTAGCGTGATTTGAGATACAGTTGACGTGAGGAAGAATTCAACTGTGGTTGTGTGGTGTTGTTATTGTTCAAAAATCATCCCTAAGCTGAGGTGAGTGCGTGACCATGAGCTTATCTAAGCGATTGGGATTATGTGATTGCTTGTTGTGATGTGTAGATTGGATTCTTGATGGGTCCAGAATTAAAATCTATGAGATGGTTGTGTTATTGGATGATTGTCATTGGTTTGGTTTGTTTTTGTGAATTATGTGTTGATTTTTGATCTCAGTTGCTTGTGTGTACAGCTCGTAGATGTGAGGATCGCCTCACTAAGTATTTATTGAAATACTTATGCATCTTTTTTCTTGGTGCAGGTAAAGATAAAGTGTGATCGTGGAATCATGGCGAGGAGAGGAGGATGATCTAAGACTTGATTTTTGTGATCATTATTAGTTGACTTTCACGGTTTATTTTTGATTAAATGTGGAATTGATGGTTGCATTGTTATTGGTATTTTGCTAGTTTTATTTTGAATAATTTTGAATTTAATTTTAGTTTGGAATCTGTTAAAGTTTATTTGAAATACTTTGGAATTTGGTGGGTTATTAGGATAACCGGAATAATTTGATCGATTTAGTGATTTTTGTGAGTTGTTGAATTAAATGTGGATGTGGATAAATAATTAATATTTATGGGAATATTAGTTATATAATTTAAAAAAAAAAACGGGTCTGGTTGTTTCACAAACACACACAAGAAAAAAATTGGTTGATCCGAAACCGAAAAAGAAGATGAAAATCTAAAAAAATGATTGTTACCTTTTATTCTCCTCTTCGTCCTACTACACCATAATCACACTCTCGGGCCATTTAAGTCCAGCCTTTTGAAATCTCTAATATATTTTATGGGTGACTTTAAAGTTCAGAGCCGACTTGCTCTGATACCAATTCAAATCAAGATCTTCTTATCTTGACTTCTCTGATGGCCAATTCAAATCAGGATCACCTTATCCTGACTTAGTCACTGAATGATTCAGAAAGTGATTCAGCAACACGAGAACAAGAGTTTAAAGAACAACCTTTCTTTATTGATTTAGAAACTTCATAAAACTAAATCTCTCTCTTATGTCCTCTCTGAGGTCTTATGGAACAACTCTCCATAGCCTCTCTTATATAGAACTTATCTACCCCTAAGTCTATATGAGTCTCTTTCTCTAGACTCTCATGAGATCTGTCTCAACACCTCCACGTGTCTCAACTCTCATCTTCGGATGCTGGAGCTCCTCTGGTAGCAGAACTCCCCCCCGAGCTGTTCTGAGCTCACCCCGAGCTATTCGAGCTCCCCTGGGCTATTCGAGCTCCCCGAGCTACACTAAGCTCTTTGAGCTTTCTCTCAAGCTCTCTCTCTTCTTCTTCATGAGCTCTCCTCTTGAGCTGCCTTCACGAGCTCCCTCTGAGCTGCTCTCACGAGCTCTCCTCTGAGCTACCTCTGAGCTACCCTCTGAGCTACTTCGGCTATACGAGCTACTCGAGCTCCTTAAGCTCCTCCGAGCTATTCGAGCTCCTCCGCTTGAGCTGCACGAGCTCCCCTGCTGAGCTACTCCTCTTGTTCTTCACAAGGCTCTTATTTATACTAGAACCAAGCTTCTTCTTTGCCTATTGTGAATAGGAAGACTTACAAATCTTGTCCAACTTGACATTATTTGTATTTCCTTTTCTCTTGATTTCCTTTCTTGGATTTCCTTTCTTGGATCTCTTCTAGCATCTTCTAGAAGGAGATAACTTGCTCCTCAAGTTAGTTGGAATTATCCAACATTCTCCCCCTTAATTCCAACTTGAATTCCGGGAAGCTTGATTCTCGCCAATGCCTTAGTAAGTGTGTTCGCCTTCTGCTCCACACCTTGAACATTCTCAACTTCAACCTTTGTTGAGATACGATCTCTTGCTCCTCAGCTTTTGAGATCTTCAAATTTGACTGCATCTTAGTATCCACAAGCATTCCTTGAGCATCTCCCTCTTGTTCTGCTCCTTGAATTACTTCTTGTACTAGTGCTTGTACTACTTCAACGATTCCTTGAACACAACCTTCTTGTTCTGCTCCTTGAATCACGTCTTGTACTACTTCATGTAATACTTCATGTACTACTTCAGCGAGAAGTATTCCGTGAGCACAAACCTCTTGTTCAACTCCTTGAATAATTTTCTGTAGTACTCTCTGTACTACTTCAACGACTAGTACAGAATACCCAAATATCATAACCCGACTTGGTTTGATATTCTCTAGAATCTGACTTGATTCTAGCATCATTAGAACCCGGCTTGGCTCCAATATTGACCAATCATCTACCTTCTTGAGATGCGGCCTCGTGATCACACTTCTTAACCAATCATCTACCATCTTGAGATGCGGCCTCATGATCTTCTTAGCTTTTAGTAAGCTTGAATGATGTTCGGCTTCTCCCCACATATCATTCAGAATCTTCATTAGGTGCCTAGAGACTCCTCCTCTATGCAACCTCGAATCTTCATTAGATGCTTAGAGACTCCTCCTCTATGCAACATCGAATCTTCATTAAATGCCTAGAGACTCCTCCTCTATGCAACATCATCGAATCTTCATTAAATGCCTAGAGACTCCTCCTCTATGCAACATCATCGAATGCCTAGAGACTCCTCCTCTATGCAACATCGATTCTTCATTAGACGCCTAGAGACTCCTCCTCTATGCGTAATCGATTGAATTCCATAAACTCTCCTCCTCTATCGGTGCGAAAGGTTTTGATAGACAAGCCGGCTTGCTTCTCTACACACTCTTCAAACCTTTTGTACCGATCGAAAACTTCAATCGATATGTCAACAAGGAACCACCTGTTCTTGTTGATCTTGGCTCATCTCTCACTTTCATCATAAGTTTTCTAGAACAATCCGGAAATTGTTTCTGGACATACTTACATAGTCTTCAAGGTACTACAGCTGATTCAATTGTCGACCTGACCTTCTCAGTTGTGCTAGTCCTTGAACTACTTCACCAACCTCACCCTCGTGGTTGTCTTGAGTGATATCCTCTATGACATTACCTGCTTCATGTCCTTCTCCAGCATCTTCTCCGCGAATCAACTCCAAAACTTATATGACCTAACTGAGCATGCCATGTTCTTGTAGATTCATTAGCAATTCATTCAGTCAGTCCTTTAGCGAGTCCTTCAACGAGTCCTGCAGCAAGTCCTTCAGCACGTCCCTCAGCAAGTCCTTCAGCTTGCAGACATGTTGCCTTGCTTATCTCCAAACAACTTGATGCTGACCAGCCTTGTCGCATCACTTTGGATAAATTCTGCTTTTGGTTGTGATCACCGGTTACTCCTCCTTGAGATTGCAAGATGGACCTTCCTTGTCCCATGCCTCTGCCGGAACTGTCACCTCCAAAGCTTCTCCTACCATAACCACCGTAGTTATAGCTTCCTTTGTTATAACGTCTTCTTGTTATAACCGCCTCTGTTTCCTGCTCGAAACTTCCCGTAGCCTCCATGCTTAGGGTTTGAGGTCCTTGGTCTTCACTTTGGATTTCTTACCCAACACGTTCTTCATACTCCAGTAACCTCCCAACAATGTCTTCAAACCCCATCCGTTTTAGGTCAAGAACTTGCTCCAGGGATGCTACAATATGAATGATCTTGGTTCGTGGTTGTGGATTCTCGCCTGCCATACTTGCTTACGAGTCACATACCACCAGTCTTGTCTAGAGTCTTCAAACTAAGCTCTGACACACCACAGATCTTGTCCAGAGTCTTCAAACTAAGTTCTGAACTTGTACAGAGTCTTCAAACTAAGCTCTGCCATACCACAGGTTTCGTCCAGAGTCTTCAAACCAGAAGCTCTAATACCAATTAAAGTTCAGAGCCGACTTGCTCTGATACCAATTCAAATCAAGATCATCTTATCTTGACTTCTCTGATGCCCAATTCAAATCAGGATCACCTTACCCTGACTTAGTCACTGAATGATTCAGAAAGTGATTCAGCAACACGAGAACAAGAGTTTAAAGAACAACCTTTCTTTATTGATTTAGAAACTTCATAAAACTAAATCTCTCTCTTCTGTCCTCTCTGAGGTCTTATGGAACAACTCTCCATAGCCTCTCTTATATAGAACTTATCTACCCCTAAGTCTATATGAGTCTCTTTCTCTAGACTCTCATGAGATCTGTCTCAACACCTCCACGTGTCTCAACTCTCATCTTCGGATGCTGGAGCTCCTCTGGTAGCAGAACTCCCCCCGAGCTGTTCTGAGCTCACCCCGAGCTATTCGAGCTCCCCTGGGCTATTCGAGCTCCCCGAGCTACACTAAGCTCTTTGAGCTTTCTCTCAAGCTCTCTCTCTTCTTCTTCATGAGCTCTCCTCTTGAGCTGCCTTCACGAGCTCCCTCTGAGCTGCTCTCACGAGCTCTCCTCTGAGCTACCTCTGAGCTACCCTCTGAGCTACTTCGGCTATACGAGCTACTCGAGCTCCTTAAGCTCCTCCGAGCTATTCGAGCTCCTCCGCTTGAGCTGCACGAGCTCCCCTGCTGAGCTACTCCTCTTGTTCTTCACAAGGCTCTTATTTATACTAGAACCAAGCTTCTTCTTTGCCTATTGTGAATAGGAAGACTTACAAATCTTGTCCAACTTGACATTATTTGTATTTCCTTTTCTCTTGATTTCCTTTCTTGGATTTCCTTTCTTGGATCTCTTCTAGCATCTTCTAGAAGGAGATAACTTGCTCCTCAAGTTAGTTGGAATTATCCAACAGACTTTGTATATGAATTTCTTTTCATATAAGAAATTGACTAAGCCTTGCGCAATTGAAATTAGATCTCCAACATTGGTCAAATCTTCCTTGGAAAGGGTCGAAAAAGCCTACTCAATATGATGTGCACTATATGATGGTCAGGAAAAATCGGCCTACCTTTTACGATGCTAATAGCCTCATGGATATGAAAAAGAGTCTGTATCTTTAATTGCATATGCATCAACAATAGTACCAAAGTGAAAAATGTTCAGGTTAATCCATATTCTTTTCATTGAATAAAGAATTTCAAGTGTTTCTTCAGGTTGACCAATATGACTAAGTGCGGCAACAATGCCCAGAACGTAACACCGGTGGGGCTGACGACAGTGGTTTTAACCATCTCTTTAAACAATACCCCTGTCTTCTCTGGAACGCTCTTGGAGTAGATAAAATTCATCGATTTGTTGATCGTAGTTCATTTCCTTCGTTCATTGTGAAAGATGGTTTCGTCAACCTCCACACATCCAATCTCAGCATACAGTCTCATTACCCTACTCATAACCCTCTCTTTGTCTTGCATCACCATCTTAAGCGGTTAAATATGGTGAGGATTTGCTGAGTCGTCGAAACCCGCCAATAGATAAATTATCAAGAGAGACGTTGGCTTCCCATCTTTATTGTACTCTTCCATTACACTAGCAAACCTTACCAACGACCGGTTAATATCAAAGCGCATTGTAATATCTTTTGCAGAGCTAATGCTCTATCCAAAGTAAGAACCATACCAACACTAATTTTTTAAAAATATTTACAAGGGTGTTTAAAGTATTTACAAGAGTTTTTGAAAGATTTATAAGGATTTTTAAAGAATAGCAAAAAAAATTTTG